GGGAGCACTCGCCGCACTCACTGCTCACGACGCTCCCATCGCTCCTCGGGAGCATAGGGAGCAGAGGGATCAACACGTTAGATAGCAGTATATCACTCGTTCTGGAGAGCTCTGGGAGTTCTCCAGTTAGCAATCACAACTACAGTTCGCTACAAGATCGAGAGCCTACTGTTGAGACAAGTCTTTGTTGTGCACCTTTTGGCTGCACCGAACCTAAGCACCCTTGAGAGAATACCTTCGACCGATACTGAACCCTAACAGGACGGGTCCAGAGACAGGTTCGTCACAGAGATAATAGTTGTTAATAAGGTCTAATAATAGGATAGGATAAACTTATAAGTTTAGCATTCTCTTCATTAAATATTGTTAAAATATTTAAAATATAATATACTAGTTAACTTAGTTATTTAATATATATAGTTATATCTAGTACTTAAGAATATTTTATATTATTACTATTATAGCTTGCTGTTTTCAAAATATATATATCTAAAGTAAGTAGCTATCCTAAATATTTATTTATTTATATAGTAGAGTAGTTAAATACCTTAATATTATTAGAGTATACTATAAGTATTAGATATATAGAAGTAAGTTATTATTATTACCTAATATTTACGTAATACTTTGCTTAATATAAGATATAAATGTTTATAATTTATTAAATTTTTAATGGTTTATAAGAGGGATATTTAAACTATAGAAAAGGGGTAATTAATAATAACAGTATATTTAATTCCTTAGCTCATTCTTTACTATATAATATATATATACTATAGTAAATTAACTAATTATCATCGATTCTAATTAACACTTCAGTTATATAAACTAGATTATACCTTAAGAAGTTAGCTTTCTACAATATTATCTCCTCAACTTATTAGGAGTCTCTAACTAAAGAACTAGAAACTGAACTCTTAGAGAATTACTAAAGAAGATGCTAGTACAGATACGGGCTGCGGAACTAAGGCGATTTACAGGCAAACAAAGATTTAATTCCTAGCTAAACACTCTGTTTAGACCTAAGGTTAGGTCTGGGGAGTAACTGGAACTGATCCTTGGGGAGCTTCCCCAGGATCGGGTTCGACCTATGCTTAAAAGGCTCCTTACTGAGCCTCATAACATTACTATCCATTCTGGGGCTCTGAGGCCCTGTTTTGTAACAAAAACTTAGATCCTAGCTAAGAATCCTAACTTAATAATATAATATATATTTTTAAGAAAAAGACCTTTTAGTTAGAGTTGTTTTTACAAATGCTCCTATATATTGAATTTTGCCTGTAATTTCAACGATGGTTAGGCTATTAAGGTAAGGGGGTTTTTAAATTTTAAATGTAGGCCTGTGGTTAGAAGAACCGCGTTATAAACAAACCCGGGTTGTACTGTAGAATACCCGGTGGTTATGTGTAGAGGTAGAGTTGAGCTAAGATCAACCTGACCACCGGGTACTTAATATATGATATATTTTATTTCTCTGCTTTTGTACCTTGACGTTATGCTGTATTTCTTTACTTAGTTTCCCCCATTAGCTTCGCCAATATTCAACGTACAGTCGTTCACTTCCTGGTAAAGGGAGAATGGCTTGTTTTATTGTACGAATCCATGTTCGACCTGTGACGCTTAACATCGGGTATCGTGATATTAAAACAGCTTCGCAATGAGAGCTGAGCACAATATGACGTGGGAAACCAAGTAAAGCCAATTGAACATGCTTCAAACGAAAGGAAAGAAAAGACCCAATCCTCGACAAGACTGCCGCCTCGCTATGGCTCAGAAACGGCCCGCATCCCTCGCTTCGCGCCCGAGAATCCGGCATCTCCCGTCGAGCACTGCCTCGATCCCAAGACCAAATGCTGGTGGTCGGTGGCTTGGCGCCCAGCCAAGACTCTTGGAAGTTGATGTCATCGCTGCCGGCCCCACTGGTGACTTCTGGTGGTGGTGTTCTCGAGAAAACGCCGACAAGTTCGCTATTCTGTCGTCTGTAGACTTGAGCGCGCGTGAGTTTATCACGGGGGCTTCATCGGGCGTCCGAACCAGGCGAGGTAATCATGGCCGGGCCCTCCTTAGTATCTGCAAATAATCCATAAGGCGTGGGACGATACCGGGGAGGTACTGCAGAGGGCAGTTAGTTTTGCTGCGCGTTGGGATCATGCGGGACAGAACGAAACTTACGCCCAGGATAGTCAAGAGGATGTTAATTAGCAGGTCGGAGCCACACCCGCGCTCGAGGAAGACACCCAGCGGCGGGGAGGATGACAGCAAAGATGATCTTGCAGATGTCGCTAACAGAGAGGGTAAGTAGACTGCTAAACAGGCGCGGGGGGGTTGGGCCGGTGTGTTCTGGGGCTTACCTCGCGGTGAAAGGCATGCTGACGGTGTTTGTTGAGTGTTGATGTGAATGAAATGTTTTACTTTTGCGGTTGATTTCGGCTGAGGGACTCGACAGGTTCGAAGAAATCGTTGATAGCCGGTGATTGTGTGTGAAGAGGAGGACAGGAGTGAGGGCGCTGGCGGCGTCTTAAATATCTGCCGGGTGTCCAGTGACACGTCGGGCGGCTGCCAAGGGATGCTCCGTAGGCTTTCCAAGGTAGGGATGGCAAGTGTGTGTGCCGCCGGATGGGTTTGGAGCAGGCAGGGCGGATTACACCTTGTCGCGACAATAACCTAGCGAGACTGCGTCATACCACGGCACGCACGTCGCATGCAGCCGGCCATTCCAGGTTGCCCAGTTTTGGAGGCAAGCCCTCCAGTGGCGGGGATCCCGACGCTTCACCGTACTTCCCGCGGGCGGAACTCGGAACTCAACGGCTGTCGGCACTCGGAGGGCCGAGAACTCGTCGACGGGACCGCCAATGCGAACGGGAATACCGTATCGTGTTATACGGAAATGATCTCACGTTAGGGCCGAACCTGGTGAAATTCGTCACTCCCGGGCTGCGAGTTCCCGACGGAGCCAACCAACGGCTTTGTTTGTTTGTGTTTCAGGCAAATCAGGAGGGTCCTCATTGTTCGCGAGCGCGCGGAGCTGGTAACGATTGTAGAGTCCTCGTCCTCATGGTCGTGAAAACGTACGAGGTGCGTTGTTACACCCGGTACATTCCCGCCTGCGCCGCCTCCCCTGTTACATAAACCCTTGCTGCGGCATTCGCCATGCCTCTGTTTCTGTTGGCTGGCGCCAACATGCTTGGTGGCATGGCGCAGCGTCTCAACGGCAGCTGGGCAGCTTGGCGGCTGGGACCCAAGTGTTTGCCAATGCCACATGCATCTCCTGCATCCCTTGAACGCGCACTTGGAACAGTTTTAGCGGGTCCGAAAATCTACTTGGGTACAATCAGCCACATTATTTTGGTGAGATTGTGGCGCCCAACAGGGGGGATTTTGGTGTTGGCTAGGGTCAACAAATGTATCACCACCAAACAACAATGTACTGTGGATACGGACTTGGCGCATCTACAGCTTCCAATTGGTGGCCCCGCTAAAACTGTTCCAAGTGCGCGTTAAAGGGATAGGGCTCGACACTCAGCCGAGCGCCTGCCCCAAAGTGACGTCCCGTAAACGGATGACGTCACAACTATACGTAATGTGGCTGAAGGGCGTGGCGTAGGCTGGTCACGAACCAAACGTAATTTAACCAGAACCTTTGGTTACGGCTTTGTATTCGTAGCGTGGCCGTGGATAGGTAGTTAAGGTTATCCTGCCCGGGCCCATGGCACCTTGAGGAGCTCTGGTCAATACCCAGGTTCCAATATATACTGCTTGTCAAGGCAGATAAACAACCCGTTCTCCTTCGTACAAAATCCCAAGAACGCTATTGAACGGCGGTTGACCTCGTTGCCCGTCTTATTTCTAGCGTTGAATAACAGGTTTGGCCGTTTTGACAGATTGATATGCATATGGTTCCGTCCATCGACGTACTCCCGACCACCTTACTACCAGCAACGAGAGTTCTGCAATGCGATGCGGCGCAAAACTTTGCCAGAAGCCCGTTCGGCATGAGCCTTGGCACGGACCTTGGCACGGACCCGTTCCTCTGAGTGCTTCGGCCCCACCATAACCCTCAAAGCCCTAAAGTTTGGGCCACATTTTTGCGAAACGCTCCCCAATAGAATCTTTCACCGCCCGCAACGCAAGATTTCTCGATATTTTAATATCGCGACACCACACAACTAGGCGCAGGATATCAACCTCTTTGCGTCCCAGACAACAACGGTTAATACTCACCGACCCTTACCGACAGAAACAATGGCTCCCATCGCAGTATGTCCCACAACCTGACGGCTTTGCTGTTGGCCCAGTCCCTCGGGCCACCGAGTCGGATCATGGCGTGAAGCAGTAGGCTAAGTCAATTCCTTCGGGATAACAGAAGAAGACCGGCGCCAAGAAGGGCCCTAAGGTGACGAAGAAGGTGAGTGCCGCACCGCCGATTATGCTTGCTTGCTGTCGCTAACAAGCCGCCCGCACAGTTCATCATCAACGCTTCGCAGCCCGCCAGCGACAAGATCTTCGATGTCTCGGCATTTGAGAAGTTCCTGAACGAGAAGATCAAGGTCGAGGGCCCGCGTCGGCAACCTCGGCGAGACTATCAAGATCTCGCAGCAGGGAGAGGGCAAGATCGAGATCATTGCCCACAACGAGCTCTCTGGCCGGTATCTCAAGTACCTGTAGGTCCTCGCTATATCTGCTGCCGATCCTATCAGCAGAGTGCTAACGTCCGTCGCAGGACCAAGAAGTTCCTCAAGAAGATGCAGCTCCGTGACTGGCTCCGCGTCGTCTCCACCTCCAAGGGTGTCTACGAGCTCAAGTTCTTCAATGTCGTCAACGACGAGGCCGAGGATGACGAGGAGTAACCTGTTCGGACTTCTGCGAGATCATTGGCATGAATAACAAAAGCATACTGGACGGTTGTGCATAGCGGGAATGGGTCAATAAAAGACACAGCCGTTGGTACGGCTACAGCGCATCTAGTCAAACCGCTTTAATTCTCTGGGTATAATATCGTGTGTGATCAAAGAGCCTCGCCTCCGTCTCCAGCGCTCAACCAACTGTAAATAGCAACTCATTCCGGCAACGACCGCATTGCCGCCTCAAACGCCACCAGCGCCATTGCATTTGCAGGAAACGCCCGTAGAAAACAGGGCAAGAAACCGCGCCAGTACCCCATAGCACCCGCTCTCCCGGTAAAACTGCCTTTGCAACCGTCCTTCCATCTCGGGAACCTCTTGATCCCGTCATTCAACCCGCCCCCCAGCGGATCTGTCATGATCCTCTGCTTCACCACATCGCTCGGGTAGCTCATGATCCAAAACACCTGCGCGCTCAACCCACCCGCCCAGAAGTTGATCGCCGGAGCGCTCAAGTTCGTGCGCTGCCGCATCCAGCGCGAGAACAAGTCGTAGCTGCCCCACCAAAAGAAGAAGAAGCTCCTAAACAACAAGGTTGCCTGTAGTCCGTGGTAGACGCCCCGAATTCCGTGGCTCGCCCATACCTTCCGCACGCAGTCCACGGGCCCGCTGTAGAGGCGGTCGCGCTTGCGCGCGGCGTACTGGATCTGCAGGCGCGCCTTGACGTGCTCGACGGGGGCCGCCACGAAGCTGACCGTCGCGCCCGCCAGAACCCCGGCCAGGCCGTGCCCGTGCGCCGGCAGCGCCGCCGCGCTGTCGAACAGCTGCTCCTTGACCAGCCGCCGGTACACCGACAGCGAACCCAGCATCACGCTGTCCATAAACATCCACCCCACCAGCGGCGGCGTCGCGCCCTTGTAGAGTCCCACTAGCCCCTCATGGCGGAGGGTTTGTGTGAGGCATTGCAACGGGCCGGAGAAGCGTGTTGATGTGGTTGTTTGGAGCCGGACTTTGATCGTGTCGAAGGGGTGACCGACTGTAGTGGTGCACGGGGGAAATTAGTGCTGGTAGGACGGCGGGAAGTAGGGAGGTAGGGGAGGGAGGTACCGGAGAGCTTGGCTATCCCCGAGAAGACGCCTGCTACAAAGCCTTTATAATTCTTATTGGACTTGGTTGGGGTTTGTGGTGGTGGTTGCGCAGGCTCCGGTGCCGGGGCTGGGGACTGTATGGTTATGTTGGTTGCCATTGGGGCTGATCCGGGGGACGGTCGGGAGGGAGGCGGTGGCGCAAGACGGAGGAGACGACCCAGCACGGCAGTGGGCTGGCAATTGGCGTTTAGGGAACGCATAGACGTCTTATAGGAGCCATCTTTGTTGATGTGTCGGATGTGCGGGAGGAAATTCGGGGTCTCACTGACCCACAGATGCGGTATCGGACCAGCGACAGCCGAACAGCTCGGGGTTAGTGGGGCCGACAAGTCAAAGTGTGCCGAGCCAGCATTCTTCAGTCGCCTTCACCTTAGCTGGATGCCTTCCCTACAGAAGGGGACTCATTGGTACATCAGGTAGTTACCATATGCTCCTGACTCAGGCGCTCGACCTCCTGTCCTGGAGTACCGAAACGTTATTAGGTAGCTAGGAAGTAAATTGTGACGCGAGCTTCCAATCTGTAGTTAATGCACACGCGAAGGGCATTCCAGCTCGGGATTGTTATGATTTTCACATGTGGCCAGACGAGGATATTTATTCCGCGTTATATGGTTTACTACCCAGTTGGGAAATATACAATATGCCCTCTCAGTGTCCATCCCTGCGCAGTAAGGGTATCTCCTCCAACTCTTCTCCCGCCCCGACACCTCCAGCTTACTTATACCCGCCGTGTTTTTATATTTCTGCCCTCAGAAGCTCTTTCCCCAAACCAATGTCCCTCCCACAACTCGTCCGAGTACGTACCCCCCATACAGACCACACAGAATCGTAACCGGCCACCGCTGCCACTCGCGATCCCAATCCAGCGGGATTGGCACGGCCCCAAGCCAAGCTCCCACCATGCCTCCTAGCAGTCCACCAAATGTCTCGTCGAGAGGCGCGCTAAAGCTGCCTACAACCGCCCAGGCACTCCCATCCACGCCGTGCACGAAGAAAAGCGGGAGGAGCGTTAGCACGGCTAGGTGCGCCGCGCACAGGAAGGTATGCGCGCTGTGCGTGAGGAAGGGCGCGCCGAATAGGATCATGGCCGCGTATAGGAAGGGCGAGACGAGAAGCGAGAGAACCAGTGAGAGGAGCGAAGTCTGTTTCCATCCCCCCATCACCGTCATCATTAGCGCGCACATTCAACAGGAAAAAAGAGAACGAAAGCACGCGGTGCAAAGAAAACAGCGCAACGTACAGCAACAGCATTGGGGCGCACCCGCGTCCGCACCCGCCCTCCTCTTTATACTCTCGCCGGGCCTAAGCTTCGGGGCCTTCCGCGCCCCGCCACCACCACCGCTGCCAGTCTGAGTCGAGCCCGGAGCGGGGAGACAGAGCACGGCGGTAAGCGACCTGTAGGGCGGCGACGAAGGGGAGGGCGGTGGCCATGGCCGAGACGGGGTCGGTGACGAGAGGGCGGAAGCGCGCGATGAAGAGGACGGCCAGCAGGGCGGGAGCGCGTGGGCGCGTGGCCTGGGCGAGCGGCGTCGGTCGGATCTGTACCGGGCGGAGCGTCGTAGCAGGCGAGACCGGTGCCGTCTTAGAGAAGGCGACTTGTGCTTGCGCCTGCGCGGCGGCGCCTTTGGCGAGGGTGGTCGACATTATTATTGGGTCGACGAGGGGCATCGCGTGGGTGCGGACGTAGATGACGGGGAGGAGGGAAGGAAGAGGAATTAATGGATAATTAAAGTTCACAGGCTCGGCATACTCGGCATTGGACCCTAACCCTGCTTACTGCGAGGGGAAGTTTCGCCCTCTGTCCAGCTATGACACACCCGGGCATGGATGGAATTCATCGTGTGAAACTCAAACCCCCAATGTCCTAGGCCATCGGAATACCCTCACTCGCGGCTCCTGGGCCGGGATTTCGCAGCGACAGATCGTACACACATCCTCAACCTTCTTGACCGCATACTTGATTGAGTCCACCCGCTTTCTCAGGATATCGTTCTTCAAGTTCAGCACCTGAAACCCGGCATGTAGGTCCTTAATAAACCCGCTGATCTTCACGGCCATGGAAGTGTCGCCCAGAGTGACCGAGTTGACTGCCAGCCGGCTCAGGTCATCAATAACGGTAATCAGCCCAAGTAGGTACTCCTCGATTGTGATGTGGAAGGCATCACGGTCCTTGAGGTTGACGGGAACTATTTGGAGTCAGTTGGCGGCCTGTAGCAAAATGTATAACTAGAACGAGACGGACCGTTGAAGGCCTGCCCAATGTCTTCCAGCGTCAACAGGCGGCCAATCTCGCCGGGCTTGGAGTCGGTCGACATGCCGCCTAACCAGGCACAGATTATGACGGTAGAAACGGCGTCCTGAACCATACGCGTCCACTTGTGGTTATATCTACAAACATATATTTAGTACAGAAGGACCCTCGCGACCGGCACCAGGGAAAGCTCACTTGTAGTACGGATACTGGGACGCAAACGCCGACAGTTTGCCGACTGTCTCGATCTCCTTCCGGATACCACCCTCGATTTGGCCCAATAGGGTTGCATCTACTTCGTTGTCAGCCAAAGATCTATCGTAGTCAACTCTTGGTTAAGAACGCTGACATTTGGACCGCGGCGTGGAGTGTATCCGCGAGAGCACGCCCTGGGTGAAGGAAACCTGCTGGTTCAGGTCATCAAGGATCTGGTCCAGATCCTTCCGAACGCTGGTGTCCTCTTCGATCTTGGTTTTGAGCTCATCAAAGAGCGTGGGGTCGATCATGGGAGGTGCCATCTCGGACGCTATTTTGGATAGGTGAGTGTGTTTGTTGCTCGCCTGATGTTTGCGGGGTGGAGCTCGGTAGTGAAGACAATTACTTGTACTTGTTGGAATCGTCTCCGGAAGTTGGCTACAGACGTGAGCCGTGAAGACTAAACTCCCCCAATCAATACGATGATTGAGGTAAGTATTGTATTCTTCAACGTTTACGCCTGGACTTCGCTTTTCTGAAAGGTGTGGCCGTGACATTTGACGTAGCCCTGCGCGCCAATCGCTGCTTTGTGGACCCTAACCCTGTTCTTTCCAGCACCTTCAACAGCCTCCCCCCTCCCCCGGCTCATCGTCGGGGCCCCTTTGGTGTGTTGAACTGCCTTAGTTATTTTACCATGAAACATAGAGCACACACGCCATATCGAAGCCACCAGCATTAATCGAGTTCCTGTAGAGGGGGGATTGATATTCGTTGTGTCCGTCATCAAAATACATCACATGCAGGGAGTTACTGGAAACTCATCCCTTTCTCATACCAAGCAAACAATCATCAAATCATCAAGGCATCCCTACCACCCACCCCAATCCTGCCCTTCGCTCACACAAATCATCGTTATCATCATCACCACCGTCAATCATCACCAGTCAAGAACCACCCAAAATAACTAAGAAAAAGTCGTATCTTCGTCACCCTCAACCAACCCGTATCAACTGCTCTTGCCCACCCCAAGTCTCGATCCCTCTCACGTACTACTCGTAAAGAACCGCTTGAAAGCAGCCCTAATCCCACCCTTCTCCTTCCCCTCCCTCTCTCGTTCCCGCTCCCTCTTCTCTTGTCTCTTGGCCCGATGTGCCTGCGAGTCCGGATCCCCTCCGCTTGCCGAAGAAGACAATCCGGCCGCATCATCACCACCACCGCCACCCACACCAGCCGACGCAGCCGGCGCCTTGACCTTCTGCTCCGCCGTCGTCGGTCTCGCTCTCTCGGTTTCCCTGTCCCTATCTTTATGTTCCCGGCTTGACTTGGGCACGGCCTCCTCGTCATCGCGGGCCGCCTTGCGCAAGGAGCGCTCCTCGGATCTGCGCAACTTGGTCGTGCTGCCACGCGTCGTGCTAGAGCGTCTGAGTTCGGGGATGACGGCCGTCCTGGAGGATGATGATGTCGGCGGCAGGGCACCGGCCGAGGCTGAGGTGTCACGAGGCCCGCCAAAGTTGGACTCGAGCACGCTCTGGCCATTCTTCATGTCGAAGAACTTCTTGCTGTGCCCGGCGAGGGTGGAACAACTACGTCCGTTTTGGGATCGATGCTGTGGCGGCTCTGGCTGTGGCGGCGGGATTCGCGGTATTGAGAATGTCGGTGTTCCGAGGATCGCTCCGAGCGGTCGCGGGGGGCGGACCGGTCTCTGTCCTTATCTGTCCTGGCCGGTGAATCGGGTGTGCCGTCCCCGACCTTTTCTAGTTCCCGCGCACGGCGTCGCTCCTCCTTGCGCTTGTCGTGAGCTGCTTGTTCCTCCGGGGTCCGGTGTCTCCGGGAGTGGGGGCTGCTCTTATGCTCTCCGAAGCCGGGGTCCTCACGGGTTGGCGTACGCGGAGGCTCATCCTCGCCCCGCGAACGAACCGACGTGTGGCTATCTGACCGGGAGCGGTGGGAACGTTTGGATACGTCCTTGCTTCCATCCCGGCTGTCGCGGTGGGGTCGGTGGCGTGAAGAGTGGTGACTATGGCGTCTGGCGCTGTGAGCAACCTTGGAATCCTCGGCCTTCAGGGGTTCTCTAGTTTTTTCTTTGTCGTCTACTGAGAGGTCAGCAACAGGATCAGAAAGGTCTCTCGACCTGGCTCTGCCCCTATCCTGCTCATCCTCGGCGGGTATCGCGGAATCCTGGAGAGACATGATGGGCACCTCAACCTCCTTCCCCTTCCCCTTCACAGCAGAATGCATTTCGGGCGAACCAAGGACATCGGTGCCTGAACTGGCGAGTCTCGGACTCCCTGGCGGACTAAGAACCTCGGCCGTGGCGTAGATAACTACGGCGGCTGCCACCATCTCCTCGGCCTGTTTGATGGTGTTCCTCCGTTGTCGGCGCAAGCTGCGCATCCGGCTCAGTTGCCGAGCCACAGGATCGTCGAGGTCAGGAAGAATGAGAGCAGGTGTGGGTACGCGGAAGTCCACACTGATGTCTTGTTGAGCGGGTCCTGTTCCATCGGTTTTTGGCCTTGGGGCAACCAGATAGCCTTCGTCAGTCTTCTCTTCCCCGACACCAACAACGACACTCCGCGCGGCAGATTCCTCACCATCCTCAGAAGAAGCTTCCTTCTTTTTCTCACTCTCCGCCGCTTCTTCTTGGGCCGGCGTATCCTTATCCACAATGTGGAAAGACTCTGAGAGCGGGACAGATTTGTCCACCACAACTTGCGAAGTCTCTATCGCCTTGCCTTGCTCGTGGGGTAGCGACCTCTCCAGCTCGGCTCCCTCTCCGGAACTCTCCTTGACCGGGACGGTCTTTGGGGCTGCCGTGCCGTCAAGCTTGTCCGCAAACTGCTCAAGGCGCGCGATTGTTGGCGGGAGATCGGGGTTGTCAGAGAAGTTGGGTGCAGCCAGAGCAGCTGTAACCCCGACCGCGCCGGCTACTCCAGCACCGATTGCGACCTCCTTTACGCAAGAGTCACTCGTGTCCGCGCTACCCCCTTTCCCAGACAACGTCTCCTTCGCGACGCTAGGCAAAGAGAACGATGTGTCGGTGGGTAAAGTAAAGCTCGTATCTGTCGGCAGCGGGTACGTTGTCTCTGTTTGCAGAGAGAAATTCGTGTCTCTAGGGTCATAATCCGAGCCGGCATGATAAACTGTGGTCCGAGAATAGGACTCTCCTTGCCCGTCTTCCTAGTGTCTCTGAAACCCGTGGCGGAGGCGTCGTGGGTGACCGCATAGTCGGCAATGGCGATTTGACCCGAGGTCTTCTCGTCGATGACTGAAGGCACTGGGACAGCGGCAGCCTTGATAGCACGAGACGTAGCATCTGGATCTGTCGCACTAGGCTCCAGGAGACGCTGTGCGTTGTGCTGAGCAACGGTTTCATACTCGGGTGCAGACTTGTCGGCCGCAAGGGGTGCGTTGTCGGTGACCGGTACCGGGGTCTCTGCGCCGCCGTCTGGAACAACCTGCCTGCTCGACATATCACTTTGAACTCGCCCTTCCGGCGATGGGAGTTTGGGGGCGGTTGCCTCTGGGGTAGCCTCCGTAGCTAAGTCAGTGGTTAGAACCGGTGGCTCTGCTGCATCAACTGACTTGGCCGCTACAGCGGCGGTAAAACCGCCAACAGCCAGCGAAGTCGCTAAAATTGGGACGGTTGAGTCCTCGCTATGTCTAACAGCTGGCTCCTTGGTTTCAAGTTCCTCTCGGTCACTAACACCGTTGAGTCATCAGCCAGTTGAGGGTTCTCGGG